CTTTCTCCGGTTGGATAGCCCGGGGGGTGGGTGGGTATCAAGAGTATTTTCCTACGATTATGTTCAGTTTCTTCCAAAAGAGCTCTTTGCTAAGTCATTGAAGACTGCCATGCATGCTTGAAGTTTAGAATGCCAAGGCACTAACCACAAATCCTCATGGTGAGGCTCATATGTGCCTTTGTGTACATGTCAACCACCTGAGCATTTGTTAGAATCTATATCAACCTTGGGATTTTTTTCCCATTTGAAAGGCAGATTTATGCTGTTAACACTTTTTTTGCATAGATTAGTTGAAACTGAGGAGTAAGGGAAGCATTCTTCAGATTCATCTATCACTGTATAATTATTAGATTATCAGAAAAGTCATGACATTTTTCTTTTTTTCTATGGAAAAATGTGTCATGACTTTCCCAACAGCCCAATAGATAATTATACCATTTCAGATCATTTTGACTATTTTGAAATGCTCAAAAAATGCTCACGTGACAAAAGTACCCTTCAAGTTTTGTGAATACACTTGGAGTTCTCCAGTAGGTTGTGACTCTGAGAGCAAAACTGATCCTAAAGATCTCTTGGAACCAGCAGTTGGCGTAATGGCTATGTTGCTGGACTCCCATGTAATCAACTGCGGTTTGAGTCCTGGACCCAGCAGCTTAAACTCATGCCGGGCGCATGTGCATGTGTGCCCAACATCCCAAGAAGAGAATGGAGGGGAAGGGTGTGGCCACTCCCTCCAGGGGGTGATTTCTTGCTTTCTGTCTCTCTCTGTCTTTCTGGCAAGTATACATGCCCTATAGCAAAAACTTCTCAAAAAAAAAAAAAGATCTCAACTGTTCTCCTGCCTTATCTTGGCACCAAGTAGAGAAGGCCAAAATGGTAGTTTGTGTGGTTCTTTAGGGGTGAGATCACGGAATCAAATTTCTAGATGCAGAAAAATGCCTAATAACAAAAATGTACAAAATTCAGACTTTTCCAGTGCTAAGTTGACTATTCTAAGACTGGCTTTAATGTGCTTTTTAGTAATTTTCCAATGGGAAACTAGATTTTTATTTCCTCATTACTACTATGGCCTATCACATGAGAACCACTTATATAGCATGAACAAGACAACTATTTGGTAATCTTAACTATTATATTAAATACAATGGTACTCTAATTATTACTTACTCATATGTGGCAAAATTTACTAGAAGATAGGCTTATTTGCTTATCTTTTCAACTTTCAACATTGTCTGTCTCCACTAAAAGCCCCCCATGAATTACTTTTCTTCAAAGGAAGAGTATTTTTTTCTTCAGTATTAGTTTTCTTCAGTTTGGATCTGTCAAATTTCTCCACTTCTGACAAGTCTGGCTTATCACTCATCTTGACTAAAAGAAAGACTGAAAATTTTTTTGAAAACTTACTAGTTCAAACTATCATCAGACTAAGGGGTAATGATCAAATATTTACTTTTCACATTTAATAGTATTTATTTTACCTGCTAATTTGCAACAGAAAAACAATGATAGATCTTAGACAAGTCATTTTTTATTAGAATTCCACATCATTACCTCATTTTTGACAGGCAGAAAATGCCATTGGGTCAGGATACACCAAAGGTGCTCTGGAAATCCAGAGCCAACATGTCTGACTCATAAAATCACAGCAAAGGTAAAATGGAGGTGATAGAAGCACACAGCAGATAGGGATAGAAGACCCAAAAAGGACCGGAATTGACCATGACTGTGTAACAGAAGAAAGCGCAATTTGAGTATCTCATTTTCTATTCATTGACATTTGAGGAGGGTGCAATTTTCTTGGGGATGGGGAGAAGCACAAACACACAAAGTTTGCGTAAACTGTACTAATTTCCTTCCATTCTAAGTGCAGTAGACTAGGGGGCTAGAATAAATTAAAGAAGTTTAATCTGGTCATAAGTATTAACAATTACTCATCACATAATAGCTCCTGGTGGCACTGGTTTGAAAATGCTGTAGGATGGGACAGTTAATTAGTATCAGACCTAGGACTTCAGAAAAATGGGATAAATCAATCGGAGTTGAATCTTGGATAAACCAGAGATGAGTGTTTAATATTTTGAGACAAGGAGATGAGACTCCAAAGTCTGTGGCTACGAACATAATGAAATGATTGGTGCCCTACGGACCTCTTGGTTTTTCCAGAAGAGACAATGGGAGTTCCAGAAACAGGAAGGCGGAGCTCTCATGCACATGTCTGGTCCCATCCTGGTGGCATGAGATGTGTCCATTGCATAGAAGCACACAGCAGATAGGGATAGAAGACCCAAAAAGGACCGGAATTGACCATGACTGTGTAACAGAAGAAAGCGCAATTTGAGTATCTCATTTTCTATTCATTGACATTTGAGGAGGGTGCAATTTTCTTGGGGATGGGGAGAAGCACAAACACACAAAGTTTGCGTAAACTGTACTAATTTCCTTCCATTCTAAGTGCAGTAGACTAGGGGGCTAGAATAAATTAAAGAAGTTTAATCTGGTCATAAGTATTAACAATTACTCATCACATAATAGCTCCTGGTGGCACTGGTTTGAAAATGCTGTAGGATGGGACAGTTAATTAGTATCAGACCTAGGACTTCAGAAAAATGGGATAAATCAATCGGAGTTGAATCTTGGATAAACCAGAGATGAGTGTTTAATATTTTGAGACAAGGAGATGAGACTCCAAAGTCTGTGGCTACGAACATAATGAAATGATTGGTGCCCTACGGACCTCTTGGTTTTTCCAGAAGAGACAATGGGAGTTCCAGAAACAGGAAGGCGGAGCTCTCATGCACATGTCTGGTCCCATCCTGGTGGCATGAGATGTGTCCATTGCCGGGAGTATAATGGAGAGGGCCCTGAGGAGTCAGAAGTATCAAACATGCCTCCGTTTAGTTGAGGTCACTCTAAAACGCTCCCTTGAAGAGGGATTGGACACCAAAATCAAAGCTGGGGAAACCGAGACAAATAAATAATATCAGGGATGAGTTCATATGTCACTTTGTAAGGAACAGTCTGAGTACATTTTTAAGTAATTAATCGTGGTTCTGGTGCCAAGCCTAAGGACAAAAGGGAAAGAGGAGCCAGCGCCGGAGGGCCCGTCCTGGGGTTCCCAACTCCTTATCCTCGCAGACTCCTTGTTCCAACAGGTACCACGGATGGACCTCTTTGGGGGTCCGCCTCCAGGACCGTCCAGAAACTGACCCGTGGAAGCAATCCGCAAAATGCATGGAGGGGCAGTGCGGGGAAGACAAAGGCAAAGAACCTCCCAGACAGCACAGACACAAAAGATAGCCCCAATCCTGGTCCCTCAGGTTCCCCAAAGTGCGACACTCCACTCGCCATCCCCAGGCCCCCAAGCCTTCCCATGTCCATCACCCTTGAGTTGCACATCTTCACCTGAAAGCTTGGCGACTACTGAAAGACGACGGTCCACCTGGCAGTGAACACTGCATGCTCTGGACCAAGTTAGCGTTCCTGCTCAGAATCATATAATTATAAACTCTGTGGCTGGCCCCGCCCCAGACCCTGCCCTAGTTCTCTCTGATTAGCCAAGAGGTCCCGGACTTACCTTCTCACTCCTCCCTCCACTTTAGCCTAGAATGTCTGGCCTCTACATTGGACTTCACTCAGGGCAAGGGTTTTGGTGACATCGTAGCAGACCCCGCCTTCCCAGACCTGTCCCAGTCCTCTCTGATTGGCCCAGGGACCACGAGCTCACCTCACTGTCTCTCCCACTGCCAAGTTCCAAGTTTCCTTCTTTCTGGGTACACTCATTGCTCCAGAACCCATCTTGCCCTATTAGCTTTGAACCTCAGCAACTCCGAGGTCCAAGTTGAATGAACTGTACTCAGGCTGTTTGGGCTTTGTATAGTCTTTGATCTATTCATTGTTTCTGTTTTCATTCTTGGCCAAGTCTAGGAGTAGGGGTGCTCATGGTCAGGGTGAGTGAGTCGGGATCATTCACTTCAACAGTGGGACATTTCTGTGACTGGTGCTGTCCTATGCAAAAGTCACATTTTTACTTTCTTGGCCACCTAAACCAGATAGTTCAGAATAATGGCCATAGAATCTGCTACAACTATCTTTATATCCCAAATCCCTAGCACTTTGCTTGACCCACAAAAGAATTCTCTGTAGACTGAAGTAATAAAGCCATGATAGAGCACAATTTTGGGGCAGCAGCACCACCCAGTGTCTGTTGGGGGAGAAACATAGGATCTGGCAGTTATGCAAAAGGAGTAAAATGTTCAAGGTCATTTTATGGATACTTACCCAGAAACTTAGGGCATTAAGGTAGAATGGAGGTAGAACTGTCTTTAGCTTGCATCCCATATTTTATATTTGGCTCATGTATGGTGGTAGAGATTACAAGACTTTCTCAAGCTTTCCCACACCTCGCTCCATCCCTTTTTTATGTTCTTTTAGCACTGTGTTAATTTTAATTTTGTGTGTCTATTAAAGAAACTTAAAACAGAAAGGCACATTCATTCAACAAATAATATTCATAGAGTACCTACAATGCCCTAGGCACTAAATATAAATACTAGTCTTTTCATGATGCTGGTTTCAGTGTTATTAATATTGAGGCATATTTACTTTTTCTTTAAGGAATGAAAACATTAGAGGAAAATATGACCATTTACCCTCCCACTTCCTCAGGGGTAGTCCTGAATGTAAGGGATAGCTTTCCAGACCATTTTCCTATCATTACAGGTCTATGTGATTTTTGTTCCCAGGAGCAAAATGAAGTATTATTTGAACCAGTACTGCCAGACCTAAGATTACACTCTCCACATCACTTGAAATTGACAGGAGCCCCATATGCCGACCTCTCCAGAGTCCAAACCTTAAATTCTGCCATCCCTGTCTGCCTCGATTTCATCAGAACTCATCTTATGATGATGATTACCTCCTTTTGTGACAGTCACCACAAGAAGCCTAAGATCCCCAAGATACCTCTCAGCTCCCACAATCTAACCTCTATAAGGTTGTGTCCACATCCCTTCTTCCCCTCTTTAGTTCACTTCTCTCTCCCCTCCCCTACTACTTAATGCAATGCACCCTTGATAATTCCTGTTCATTCACAACCTCTTCTCTGAATACCCTCTTCATTGCTTTGCTCTTCTCTGAAGACTCGGCCCTATGAAACCCACTCACAAGGAGCAGATGAATTTTCTCTTTCATCATCAAAGTACCACAGCTTCTAGTGGGGAGACAAGTTACTTCCCAGCATCTCACTACTCCCTTTAGAACATTTTCCTCCCACTTTCCTAAAAACCTCTAACTTTTTATAGTTTTTGTCACTGACAAGCCTTCATTATAGTTGCTACCTATTAAACTTCCACTCTTCCCATCTTATTTCTTAATGGTTTTAGCTCCTAGAACACAGCCATTCTCAGTGATAGTTGTTCTATCTTAATTGGTGAATTCAGACTGATCATTCTGACAAACTGGCCTCTTCTGTTCATTGGACATTCCTCCTCCATGAGATTGTGCTCAGTGCTACCTTAACTACTCATTCATATGCTGTACCCTAGATCTTTCATTGCAACTATCCAACCCTTCCCATTCTAATTCATTCCATTGCTAGTGAAAGAAATATCTAAGTCTGGGTAAAATAGAGATTTATTTAGCTCAGTTTTGTTTGTTTGTTTGTTTGTTTGTTTGTTTTTGGAGGGAGTTTTAGTTTATTTTTATTCATGATAAAGAGTATATGTACACACACTAAAGAGAGAATCAGAGACAGAGAGAAACACCCTTAGCAGAATCTTGTCATTCTGTCAACCCCTTCCTATAGCCCTTTAGCTCATCAGGACATTGGGCATGCAGGCTCGTGCATGCATGCACACACACACACACACACACACACACACACATACACACACACACCATGTTTTCAGGTTGACCCTGGGATCTGAATCCATAGTCACCCATGTGGCTTCCAACACTGCAGTTTAGTTTGGTACCAACTATGCCACCAGTCTAGTCCTAGCTCAATTTTGGAGGTCCAAAGTCAAGGGGCTACATCTGGTGAGGGTCTTCCTGCTGGTGGGTGGCATGGCAGAGGGCAACACATGGTGAGAGAGCAGGAGCATGCATGTATGTTTATGTTTGTGTGACTTCTTCATTTACTCTCCTTATAAACTCAGCAGGATTCAGTTGTGTGTGTGTGGGGGGGGTGGCACCTGATTACCTTAATCTTAATCACCTCCCAAAAGTCCTGTCTTTTAATCCCATAACCAGATTAAGTCTTCACCCTCTCCACACCACAATGATGGCTCACCAAATTTTAACTCACGAATTTTGAAGGGACATATTCAAACTATAGCACCTTCATAATTTGTTTCAAACTTCTTT